TGCCCTAGCCTATCTACCATAAGAATATGAGCGAAATCGAATTTTCGACCCTTGCCGCGAAATTAAGAATTTGTCTGATTTTTACAGGCAGGCACTCGTAAATCGTATTTACAAAAGTTAACCCAGTGGGGAGAGACGGTACAGGTAGATGGTGGTGCTTCAGCTGCAGTGGGCAAAGAGTCTCCAGTTGGCGGGGAGGCCACCTCGCGAGAGTTACGAGGTAAAAAAAAAAAAAACAGACACACCCGTTGTACTGGTTTTTCTTTTGTTTCTTGTTCCCCTACCTCTATCCATCGAGATCGATGCCTTTCTAGTTCAGTCCAAGTTCATACAATTACTTTAGTATTTATAATCAACTCCTTGTGTTTATAAAAGGAGGTCCAAGGAGCTGTATTTGGTTGTTTGTTAACCGACTCAATTTACTCAGTTTGTACTCCAGGTCTTCTTACTATCCTTCTTCCTTTCTGGTTTCTCATTGCTACTATTTGTAATCACCCCTTTGTGGTGTTTTTCAGTTGCAGTTTAAGAAACTAGTGTTTTGAGATTTCCTGTTCTGTGACTCCTTTATTGTTCCCAACCAAAGTCAGGTAGACAAAAAATACATAAATCAGTGTCAAACTGTCTATTTAACATATCTCCCCTCTAGTTAATAAGAAATTTTAACCCACTGTTTTGTCATACTGGCAATGATGATAAATGATATGGTGAATGTATGTGAATGATGTTTTTGTCATAATTGTTTACTCATCAAAGTCAATTAATGTTGGTGTAAAGTTTGAACGGATTGTGATTTGAGGTGAGCTTTTATCAATTCCTGCTCTCGGTGCCCTCGGTGCTCGAGGAATTTGTGCCTACGGGTAAACAGTGCAAAGACGGCTGCATTATATATCACTCATCCGCTGTTAGCCAGTGAAAACTGACTATTAAGTTTACGTTGTTCGATTCTTATCTTACAGCTCCCCTAGAGATTATTGCTCGGGGTCCTCTGACTATCCAGGCTTATCAGAGAGCCCTTACAGAGGGAAATACCAGTGTAAAGAGACTGCCAATCATGTTGATTGGACAAAGTCAGTCAGGAAAAACCAGCTTAAAGAGGTCATTGAAAGGAGAACGGTTTAATCCAGAGGAAACCAGCACTACCGGGATTGAGATGGATCCTTCCTACTGTAAAGTGTCGGCAGAAGTTTGGAAAGTAGGGGAGAAAACCCAAGCAACGGATTCAGACCTAGGGCCAATTTCATATGAACATAGAACAGCTCAATATATCTTGAGAAACCTCAAGGTAGAACCAAAAGAATCGGAATCAAGTCAGTTGACCAATGACGGTGTAACCTTGGATAATACAGAGTCATTGGTAGCATCTGAAGATTACGTAATAAATTCCTTTGATATTTCTGACGCATTACTTCCGAAGAATCACAAAGTCTCAGCTGATGCTCTTGTGAATGTGCCAGATGTGTCAGACGTATTACAGGCACCTGAAGTGCCACAAGAAATAGCAGCGTTGATTCACAAGTTGCTTCAAGTTGTTGAGAATGGCGAAGTTGAAGAAGAAGTATATTCCGTTTTGTGGGATTTTGGTGGACAATTAGTGTATTACGCCACCCATCCGCTTTTCCTTACAAGACGGGCAATTTACTGTCTGGTTTATAACCTAAGTCGGGATCCAGCTAAAACCGTCGGTCCGCAAGTGAAGCAGGGCTTCTACAAGAATATTGAAGATGTTTTCTGTGAAAGGAGCAACAGGGATTATCTGGACGTATGGATGTCCTCAATTTCTAGTCTGGTTTCACAAGATGAAGACCCCGAGGAGACACCCGCATCTGAGATACTACCAGAGAGGTTGCCTCCGGTGTTCCTTGTTTGCACTCACGCTGACAAGCCTTATAACAGCGCACAACCTGAAGAGCTTGCTCGCGAGATCTTTGGGTCATTACAGACAAAATCCTTCGGAAAACATTTATTTGATGTGTTTGTTGTTGACAACACGAAATCAGGAAGTGAACAAGAATGTCCAGAAGTCACCCGCCTGAAAAGCGAAATACTTAATGTTGCTAGGGAACTGCCGCAAATGAAAGAAGTGATTCCAATCAAGTGGTTGAAGTATGAAAAGGCTGTTCGAACGATGCTTGAAGATGGCTACAAGTGGATTTCCTTTGACGATGCCAGAAAGATTGCACTTGACGTATGCGAAATTTACAGTGACGAACAGTTTGAAGCATTACTGAACTTTTTACATGACCAGAGAATCTTGATTCACTTTGGTGACACCCCAGAGCTAAACAAAATGGTGATCTTGGATCTACAGTGGTTGATAGATGTTTTTAAGAAGATCATTACCGTCACGCCATATAGAAGTAACGAGAAGAAATTCACCAAATTTTGGCTAAAGCTTGAGACAACGGGAATCTTGGACGAAAAACTCTTAGAACACGTGTGGGGTCCTTTGTTCGATAATCGAGAAACCTGTGACAGCCTCATCGCCATGATGGAGAAGTTCTGCTTATTGTGTCCCTGGTCGTCATCAGCGGAGGGCGAGTCACCCAGAGAGTATCTTGTACCTTCCATGCTTATGTTCCCACCAAAGGAAGACGTCGCTCAGCTGATTGCATCTGCAGGGATTCCATCGCTTTTTGTGAGGTTTAAATCTGGACAAGTGCCTTCTGGCTTATTTCCTCGTCTGGTGCTAATGATCTTTCAGTGGTGCAACAAGGAATGGCTTTGCCAATCAGAACCTCAGTTACATCACAATTTTGCAAGGTTCTACAGCCACCCAGCTGAAGGCTGTTCTGTTATCCTCCTTTGCCATTCCTCCTTCATTGAGGTTGTTGTCCACAAAGAAGATAGTACTTCTCAGGTATCCACAATTGTATCACCAGAGATGCATCTATCTCCAGAATCAAGCCTCGATACCTTTCAGGTAAATGTGGCTCGTATCGTGTGCCGACAACTAGGATTAATGCTTGAATGCATGCGCAAAGAGTTTCATTGGTTGAAGAACATGGCTTATGAGATGTCAGTCTGCTGTCCCGTTTGTTGTAAGCAAGGGTCCGTTAACCATTGCCGCAGTCACAAGATACCAGGTTGTAAGCAAGAGGAGTGCTTGCATTTTTGGTCAGAGTCTGAGCTGCGACAATGCAAAGGTCCCATCGCGTGTACCAAGTCTGCTGTTGCTGGAGATTACAGGGTTCCGCTCAAGCTCTTTGAGCCTTGGTTCAAATTTGCAGATGAACAGGTAAGATGTAGTACATTACACTATTACATACAGAGCTTTCCTTAGATAGTCGTGGTTTTCAATTCAGTGTTGTTATGAAGTGAATTGGATACACTCAACATAGTCAACATAGTCAATGAATACGCAGTTGGAAGCGTCTCAGTTGGTTTACAAAAGTCTCAAATCAACTTTTAAATGCAAGTCTAGAGATTTCTTTAAGATAGAAACCCCTTGAAATTCTGTTTTGATACGGAAAACTGTTAACAAAGAGGATATTCACATTGATAGCTATTAACATTGAAACGATCAGTAACACTGCTAAAATCGTAAGATTAGCGTACGTATTCTCTGATTATGTCCTGTAAGCATGTCTTAGATATTCAATGTGCAAATTAGAAGCTATTTCAGTTTCTAACCTTGAAGAAATTTACAGCGATCGTTATTTTTCAAACCCGATAAGGATTCCACGAAATTGCTTATTCTTAGACAACAAGACGTTGCAAAAAATAAGGACATGACACACTATCTAACTTCTTATGGCTGTACAAATGTTTTTCTTTTTGGAAGCAGAGAGTTGTTGATGGACATAATGGGAAAGCTCTGTCTCGGAAGACAGGTAAGCTTCAGTATTATGAATCTTTTGAAATGAGTGTATATAATTCTAGTGCTTGTAGTAAAGGACCTTTTGTTTTTCGACCACTCTATACCGAGCTTGCTGGGCTTCTTCATTGCAGGCCCTCAGTCGAGAATGTTCTACTCCAGCACTCCAAGTCAGTACCAAATTTATATCTCGGCTGTCCAATCAATGACATGGCGATTTACGTCATACAAGACGCCTAAAATTTTTGCTAGCTCAAATTATTGCAGTGGTTATGAAATAAAGTGAATTTAACACCTCGAGAAGAGCTTACTTGACTAGCGTACAGCTTCCTATATCTATCTCGTGGTGATGAAGTATGGTAATTAGAAAAGAAAGGCACCGATCATAATTAATTCTGCTCTTGTTATGGTTCATTCTATTATCTAGACGACAGTGAACTAGCCCTTGCCCTTCCTAGTGGGGTAGTCGAGGCCCTTCAATTGCAGACTTGCGATGCAAATGATGTCGTTGCTCGACTACAAGAAGGTCTTTCCCCGGAGCAAGCATCCCTGGAACAGCCAGATCCAGAGACCAAGCGTCAGATTCGCTGCCTTTGCATGAAAGCTAAACATGCAAATAGGCTTGATGTTGTGAAAAACCTAAGAGAAATTTGCCCCGCTGGTACAACAGGTGAGGGTTTTTTCATATCAGTGTTATCAGCCAGTGTTATCACTTTGCCATGTTTAGGGTGATACGTTTAACCAACTGTTATATATTGGAACAGTTTGGAGCGATATTTTTCGATCAGACAGAGTCAACCGAGAATGGCTCTTACCATTTTCTACTTCTTTCTCCAATCCCTCACAGAAGTGAAATAATAATGTAGAGAAGTGCGGCAAAGAACCGGTTGGTCAAAATCGGATGACAAATTTTGGAACGACCGGTCCGATCTTTCAAAGTGGACTACCTTCAAAGATGGTCCATTTTCCGGAAATTTTCCGGTCGGACCGAAGCACTCCATTCGATTTTCAACCGAAATTTGTGTGTTTTTGGCATTATGGAAAACACCCTTAATCTCAATCCCGGTTTATTACAATATTTTCAAAGTTTTGTTGTTTTCCCGGGCAAAGAAGTTGCTATGTATCTGCTCACCCACAGGTAAAACGTTACTGGCAAATTGTTTGAATATCTTAGCACCATATCGGTGGAGGGTGGAGAAACTTGGGGATACCATCTTGGAGAGGCAGGGTGAAAATGCTCCTAATGGCTTAATGCTATATCAACCAAATTTCATCACCTATTTTTGAGCTGCTTTGGAGTACGATTTGGAAGTAAGTCTTAATTTAAGACCGCTCGTATCCACTAGCACCAGGAAGACGGGTGACGATTAATTTGGAACTTGTTTTGTCCTAGGACCTCTGTTGCCTGAAGCTCTTGATGTAGTTACTATTCCTTTTCGCCAGAGGCAAGAGCTCACAATGAACTTGTGTGGTAAGGACTTATGTGTAAAGTAAAATCAATCAAGGTATAGAAAAGAGCACAAGAGGCTTGCAAACCCCAATAGGGAACATTATATCTTGCATCAGAATAATGTTGGTCGCTCTGAGAGCGCGCGCCAATGTTGCTTATTTCCCAACACGAATCAAACAAGACATTTCGAAGTCTTTATCATTTTAAAGGAAGTTTTATAAAATAAATAACAACACAAATAATTTTGTGGCCAATATTTTAAACGTCTGACTAAAAGTGTTGGCATGCATAATTTTAATATCTTCAAACGCTGCCAATAATATGCGATAAATTCGTACTACACACGAATACCTACATGCAATGACATTTTTGGTTTTGCTTTAAAGCATTAGGCCACGTTCGATATATCAGTATTCTAACATGGCTCAGAGGCTTTCAGGACAAACTTCCATATTTGATAGTGTTTTCGATGTATCGAAATCTCTTGGTGAGATTGGGTCTAGCTTTCGGCGAGGTCGGACGTCTTCTGAAGCGCTCCGCCTTCAAAGCAAATGTAATCCTCCTAGGGAGCCCGAGAGCTGAGAAAATGGCAGATGAACAACAAGCAACCAAGGAAAGCTCCACTCGCAAAAGAAGAAAACGAAGTAAAGGCTCGCAAACTGATAACGAGGACTGCGAGATAGAATATTGCCACGGCTGTACAAACATGGCGGAATCACTCGCCGAGATTAACAGCAAACTTGACAAGGCCTTAACCTGCATCGGAGAAATGGAAGTACTCAAACAAAAACAAGAAAACCTGGAGAAAAAGAACAAGGAGCTAGAAGATAGCCTGAGTTTTGCCCATACTTCAATTGAAGGGCTACAAAAGAAGCTGGCTACTCAAGAACTTGCCATCAACGAGCTAAACAAAAGTGTGNGGCTTTTTTGTTGTTACTGGGACGGCATTGTCCATAATTCCCTGTATTTCCTGTGTAGATAGCTCACCTAACGTGCTTTTTTTCATCCATTTTTTTTTTCGACGAAACTTCGCTTCACGCGAAAAAGCTCCTGCCGAGCGACATTTGCCGCTCTCATTTCCATATAAGGTCAAACGCAGGTATAATGGCTGGTAACCGAGATCCAGTGAACCAATCAGAAAGCTAGAATTGCATTATCCGAGGCTGAGAATTTAATAATGATATATAAACAGCTTCGCCAAGGTATAGGTCTGTACGGTTTTTCATACCTGCGTTATTTGGAGAAATATTTGACCTAAATTTACAGACCTTTGTTTGGAGACGCCATCCTGGTGCCGCTCGAAGGGGCACCAACATTGCGATGTGAGGTAACTAGAACATCTGTCATTGAGTTTTGCTGTTGAAACGAAAGGTTATTAATCTAGAGCTCTGACACAATGAAATTAGTACTCAATCTAATGCAAGGACTGTTCATTTTAGCAAAATTTAAAAGATAAGTAGTCTTTTGACTAACCTGCCGCACAGGCAGATATTCGGGGTCGAGCGCGATACGCTCATAGTACGCTCTTACAGGGGCGTGTTGAAAACACGAAGTGGCGAAATAACGAACTGGCAGTAGGAGTAAGAGTCAATGTGGGATACGGGTGTCTGTTAGGGATAACCCTTACAATTATTGAGAGGTAACCACTGAAGAGTCAGCGATATTTAGGCTAACCGGAACTCTATTCAGGCTAACTGTTGCAGTGTGCCATTTCGCCATTTCGTGTTTTACCACTATTACTGTTTCACTGTACAAAATCAATTTCTTTTTGCAGACAATTTCAAGAAAACAACAAAACGAGTAATATCAGTATACGACATACCTCATCTTATATCCTACTTATACCCAAACCGACCAGAGAGGACAAGATATATTCTTTTGACCACAATGGGACAGACTAGACTAAGTAGCATTCCCACATGATCATTTGAGCACTCCTATCGTGATAGAGTCATCAGTCGGTCGTACACCCAAGCCGTTACTAATTAATACTGTCATTTGCCCTGAAACGCCAGTTATTAGTGTTAAAACACTTAGGGGTTGCAGTATACGAGGCAATCAGTATAGTATATTAGCGTCTGTTTCTTGGTTCATCCTATTTGCAAGTGTTAATCATGTCATGTCATATATAGCGTTATTGCCACCTACGAGAAGATGATATCGGCGCTTTCTGACTGTTTTGGTCTTGCTTGATTTAAGGTAGACCTCAGATGTGTAATTCCAGGGGTTGGACCTTCGTATTATCGTGAATGCTTAGCAAAAGTCGGACAAAGCCAGGTTAGAGTGTTACGATAAATAAATAGTTTCTTTATTTTTAGATGTTGGGGCAGTAGTTACCATAATAGTTATAGATGGTCTTGTTTCAAAGCCTGTAAGCCGCGCGGTCTTCCAGGGGCAAGCATTAACAAGAGGTCAATACTTACAGATGAGAGTGCCCGACTTGTTAATTACATGATTGAGTCATGGTTTTTTCGTTTGCTTTGTTTGTGAAGTAAGCTTAGAAATGGTAATAGAATAGTCATCGACTGAGAAATCGTCAGCTGTATGGTAATGTTGAGCAGTCAGCAAAGCAAAAAGTGTGGGTCGGATGTAAAAAAAAGAGGAGGGAAAATTATGCGTGATGCAGACGTCACACCCGGTCAAACGCTTGAGAAGTACCTCCTCCGGGCATTAGTGAGGACAATACAGTACACATACATGTATGACTGTTCTCGGAATGAATTGTAGTAATGACTGAATGATGACAAGCGACATGCATATGTTGGGCTTAATGCACAGCAGGCACAACAGTAGATATTGCAGAATAACCAACTTGGGTACCCACGATTTATTTTCAGGTTGTAAAAGGTAAACTAAAGAGATGGTAGGAATGTTATCCTATTAAGCTTGAACGACGGTGAACAGTCGATGTTGAATTTATTCTTTATAAGCGAAGCAAACATCTCTCTCAGTATTTAACAAAGAAACCTGAATTTCCGCATGAAAAAATTAAACGAATAATCTGATCGATCTGCTTCAGATGACGTTTTACCGCCTGAGCGTTTGAGAATCCTGTCACCGGAGAATCCTAACTTTGGGTGAACATTTCAATTTCCATCTGTAATTGTAACAAGCGTTAGTATAATTTCCAGAGGTGAATATAAGAATTGGACATTCTGATTGGTCGAAAAGCTCATCATATGACGCTATATTCACCCCGCTAGAGCTTGGTTACTAAGCTCCCTAGCTTTGCCATCTCGGCAAGTAAACATGGCGGACAGTTGCTGAATGAAGCTTTCATTTATTCGAAAGACATCACTCCAAGTCCAGAATATTTGAAAGGATGGAAAATTTTCAAAATGACTGCTGTCGCTCTTGGACCAAAAATCTTTTCAAGAACTCGTATTCAAGGCTTTTAAGAATCGTAAACGCAGTGATTGCGTCGATCGCCAGCAGGTCAGATCGATTGACCGAAATTTATTTTTCTTCAAACTAATGCTACTCATTTTTAGGCGATGATGACAACTGTGAATGAAGTCAACAACGATAAAACAAAGGTACCGGATGAATTTATTTTTCGTAGTGTTTCGCTCGTTTGTTTTACTGCCGAACTCGATAAGTAAACTGATTGACAATCAATGTACATGTAAGCTTATTATTAAAACTAAGGCTGCATACGTGTATGCACACGAACAATTGCGTCTGTGGTTTTGTCTTAGTCCGTTATTTTGTAGTCCTTGATATTCACTTCTGAAAATTATACTAAAGCAATTTTTCGCCTCAGGCTCAGTGAACATTGGTGACTAACTGTTAATTATAGCAATAGTAGTAGTATATTAAAAAAAATAGCAACTAGACATCAGTTTGAAAATGTGCAATACAGTTGCTCGATAGATGCTTTCATGGCACTCATTCTGGTAACATTTTATCGACTGTACTTACGCTGATGTATTCTCAATGCATACAGTTTGTGTTTCGTTTTGAGCCTGCATACTCGTGACAGCAACTGAACAGTGACTGAAACACAAATGAACAGACAAGGAATATTTTTATTCACATTTTTTTCGTATTTTAGCGCAGTATTTCAACATTACAATCACGAAAAATGTGAACGTAATAAAAATTCTTATCAATATCACTGAAAATAAGGTCGATTGGAACATTTGTCAGGGTGAAGCAAATGCGGAATACAGTCGAACCTCCTGTTGCGACCACCTCTCCTGAGCGATCAGTTTTCCAAAATACCAAAAGTTTCCAAGTCAAATCACTACATTTGGAACCTCTTGTAAGCGACCACCTCTCGTAAGCAACCGCGACCAGTTTTAGAGCTAAAAGTTCGAAATTTTCTATTGTTTTTAACCTCTCGTAAGCGACCATTTCACAGATAACAGAGCAGAAACTGGATAATAAGGTGTTGTAACATTATCACGTTCCTGGATAGTACAAGAGACGGAAGTACCGGATTTTTTTGTGAAAATTTACTTTTCACGTGAATAAAACTTTTAAAACATGGGGTAAATCTCTGCAGTTATCATATGCTAATGAGGCAAAATTTTGACCCAACATGATCTAAGCTCTTGTGAGCAACCACCTCCTGAAAGCAGCTACCGATGCTTGACATTTTAGGTGTCGCTTATGGGAGGGTTAACTGTCCTCACGTTTTCGATACGACGCCAAGTCGGGCGAAATGGCGTCCTCGACGAGATGAGGACGGCAGAAAGATGAGTCGAGAGTTCTTGTGCGCATGCCCGGTTGAGTAAATTTACTTCCGGTAGCCGTCCTAGCTTGTCTCGTCCTGGTATCTTACGGTGCCTAATATTGTCAAGTTGACAACCTAAATCTTTTCTTATTAGAATTATGTATATAAGTAGTATATATTATATCATTCAAATGTAGAATATAATTTCTCTAACATTAGGCGTAATCTATGCGTCGGCTTGACATGGAATGTAATCCAAGCGCCGAAATCTCGCTGGTATTACTTAATTTGACCTCTCTGTAATAAACTACGAAGCAATATGTCCAAGTTTACTAGCTGTGTT